GAGAGAGAGAGAGAGAGAGAGAGAGAGAGAGAGAGAGAGAGAGAGAGAAGGAAAATGTGAGCAGTAGTTCCATCTGAGTAAAAGGCCGTGGGAATCCTTTATTCTGCTTTTCAATCTCTATGTCTGACACATCGGAATGAGAAGCTATCCCCTAAGAACCTGCTCCAATGGAGGCTGCAAGCTAACCCTACCGGCTGTCTCCTTCCCTTTCTGGAATCAGCCATCCATTGGTCCCAACTCTCTTGCATTTGGATGTGAATGTGTGACCGAGGCCCCGCCAATGGAGTGTGAGTTAAGCTGATGAGCACCTACTCCCTGGTCCATAGATCCTACCGTCGTCCCTCTGCGGAGTTGGAAGCTCCCTCTGGACATTAATGAGCTCTAAGAAGGGAGGAATCTGGGCGTGAATTGTCACTAGTCATTTGGGACATCATGTTCTCAGGAAATACACTCCTGGTATGGTGGGCACTGAGGTGAGGGCGAGGATGTGGTTTATCTTTTCACGTGGCTCACGTGACGTGCCTCCCACGCCATCCCTCACCTCCAGGTGTGCCCTCAGGTCCAGATGCATGTTCTCCTGCCTGTGGTTTTGTTTGTGCTACCCTTCCTGCCTGCAATGCCTTCTCAAATGTCCTTCACCCCAGGGAGCCTCCCATCCACCTCTCCGCGACCTTCCTAGCTCTGTGCAATGGCTACTGGCGTGTGGTGATGAGTCACAGAAGATTTCAGCCGAGTGCCAAGGGGTCTTCTTTTCCGGTCTCTCTGATCTCACCGCTCCCTCTGTGCCTAGCAGGGGGCCCAGTGCATGTGTCAGGGGACAGTTCGGATAAAACAGACATGTGAGTGACCTGACCTCTGTTCCGGCATCTCCAACCACCACTCCCGCAAACATGGAGTGTTACTTGAGGCAGAACTCTTTGATTTAATTAATTTTCTTGACATTTTAGGTCTGGGTTTTGAATCACCAAGGGGTATCTCAAAGGTATCCCAGGGAGAACATGGCTTGCCTGGATCCTGACATCTTTGCCAGAGATAAACAGAATAAGATAAAGATGTGGTGGTGATGATTGTGGTGTTAGCGGTGGTGGTGGTGGTGGTGGTGGTGGAGGTGGTGGTGGTGGAGATGATGGTGATAATGGTGGAGGTGATGGTGGTGGTGGAGGTGGTGGTGGTGGTGGTGGTGGTGGTGGTGGTGGAGATGATGGTGATAATGGTGG